GCCGCCTCGCTGGGTGAGTGAAACAGCACCAGCGCTCTGCGGGAAAGAAGACGGGCAGCCCTCTCCCTAATGTGTGGAAAGAAAAGTGTTGGCAGCATTGGCTGGCAGCAAAAAAGGCAAAAAGGCTCTTCCCCTGCCCCAGGAGATAATTACTCCAGGGTGGGGGTCGTGGGTCATCCCCACTCCGCCTTCCCAGTGTGCGCTCTGCCGGTGCTGGATGTGAGAGTCGCAGAGCGAAGGTGAATCCTCGCTTTGCGAGGAAGAGGAGACAGCTCCAGCCCCATGGCAGGGACACTGGGCTCTCCCCCCAGGGACAGACCCTGATGGGCCGTGTCGAGGGGCTGGAGCACACGGCAGGCAGCTGTGACCAGCCGTTTCCCACCGTACCCACGGCAGGCTGGAGGTGTCACACTGCCCCTCGTCCCGTGGCAGCGAGGTCCCGCACAGGACGAATGACTAAAATCACAAATGATTCTGAGCTGCTGAGGTGCCTCGGCTTTCTGTGCCATCCGCTGGCCAGGGGTTCAAACCCGAGAAAAAATCAGAGAATGGTTTGGGCTGGAAGGGACCTTAGAGATCATCAGGTTCCAGCTCCAGGGACAGAATGGGTCCAATGCACTGAAATCCTGAGTGTGCTGCAGCCCGAAAGGTGTGAGCTGTGTGCAGCACAGCGTGCATTCGCGTGTGGATCGCCAGCAGCTGCCTCGCACATCGTTCCTGGCACGGGGACATCTGCTCAGAGCCGTTCCTTTCCAGTGCATCCCAGCGCTGCAGGTGCCAGGCAGCCCCTCTGGGCTGCACGAAAATTATTCTGCAGGAAAATGCCATCCCTTGGGATGCGCAGCTGCTCTCCCAGTAAACCCGTGGTGGTGCAGGCGACGAGAGGGGCTGGATCCCCCACTCCAGGGCCTGGGTTTCAGCTGGAAACCACGAGCAGGAGGAAAGCCTGGAACATGTCAGGAGACCGTGGGGGAGGCGAGCGGCTGCGTGGTGGATTAGCGCAACTTAATATTTTTTTCCTGATTAAAAAAATGATTAGAAAAGGGAATTAATTAGCCTTGACAGCTGGTGGGGCTGGGGTTAGCGAGGGTGGCTGGGAGAAGAGTTAAAAATAGCAGGAAGGCCCAAGTGGAAAGTTTCTGTAACATCACAAGTCAGGCATTCGGTGCTTACCCGCCCTGGCAGGCGCGCGCCCATGCCAGAGCCCTGC